CATTAGCTCAACAATTATGAGCTGCCCCTGCAGTCTCAGTTCTCTGCCGTCTATGAGTTAAATCACTTCTGTTTCTGTTTTTTTGACCACAGCCAAACCTGCCTGGCTGTGACTTACACAGTATTAATGAAAAAAAAAAGTGTTTTATTTTCAGTCCGGTCTCTCAACACAACGTGATTACTGTTAACATTATGCTTTGTCAATTAACATTTAACAACACACATTAGGATATTAACAGTGCAGGACATAAGAAATTCCAAAATTAAACACACTGTGCAATTAGGGAAACAAAAGAAAAAACACTTATTTCCAGGAAGTGTGAAGGGACGCTGTGTGAGTCACAGCCAGGGGAGGTGGGGCTAGGGCTGCATAAATAAATTGATTTAACTCCTAAGTGGCAGATAATTGAGCAGTGAGACTGTAGGAACTACAACAACATCCTTTCATTAAGCTAAAGTTGTTTTGTTGGTTAGAGTGTCCCTTTAACAGGAAAAATGTTTGTAATATTTTCACATTTCAGATTCTACAAATCCACAAATCATCTTGTATTCATCATGCTCATCCCCAAAAATGCATTGCCAAGGACATTCTTAACCAGCTAATTACTTGGGGTGGCTAAAAACGTTACACAAAAGTCAGATAAAGTGTACATTCCAGATTCGAGTTTTGTTAGAAAATTACAAGCCTTTTCCCATATTTATAGTAAAATATTTGTTGGGATTTCTGTAACACTTTTAACCCAATCTTAAATAACAAAAACATTATATTCCTACCTCTTTTGATGCCATCGGTTCATAGAACAGATCCATTATGGTTATTGTTTGTCCCCAGTTTTACCATGTGGTCCTGTTTACTGTTTTAGAGAAAACAGTGCAGTGATCAGTGCATTATTTTAGTTTATGGCGAATTATAACATACTTTGTAGAGTATTTTGATAAATATATTTTTGTGTGATTGTGTGTGGCAAATAGCAATGAAAAGATGGTGTAATTACTGTCATAAACATTTTGCATTCTTTGTGTGTTTTAGCACACCCTTCCTATATATTAGGAAAGTTCAAATGTTTGAACTATTGGGAAACAAAAAGAATAGATGGAGGGATCTGGAAGGAGACTAAATGTGCATGCAGTGATGACCCGATTACCTCATTGGGGATATTTCTTCAGTATGTAAGAGTTATTTGCATACTGTATAGAGATTAAGGTTTATAACCTATCTCAAACTCTGGTTCCCAGTGGTGATGGCCTGCAATTTTCAGAATTCTGTGAATGCAATAAATGCACAGATAATCAGCAACATCCGGGGTGCAGATTTCGAGATGCCTGGTTTATAGATATTAATAGTGTTACAGCACCTCTTACACTTGACCAGCCAATCCCCTGTATCTACAGCCCTAGTTGTGGGTTTATAACTTCAAGAGGGGAATGGCTGCTGTGAATTGGAGCAAGCCAGCAGCTCTATCTCCTCTACCTGGGATTGTCTCAGTTGGCAGGCTTTGGCTTTTCTGCCTATGCCTTCTTCCAAGCACGTATGAGCTCCTCTTGCAAATTATTGCTATACCCTTTTGGGATATAATCATAACTAATTGCTAATTATTGTCATACCCTTTAAGGTTATAATCATAACTGAAATTTTATGAGATACTTTGACTTAAGGGAACCTTAGATATTAACTCCAGTATCTTACATTATGCAATTTGTAAAACACTCTATAAACACAAACCGCAAAGCATTACAGAAAGAAGGGAGAGTAATCAAACCATCTATAATAATCAGATTGTGAGTCACAGAACCAATAAACTATATGAACTCTACAGCAAGTACAAAGGATACAATGAGTTTTCAAATAAAAAGCTAGAGGGCACACAATAGCTGCCTTAAAGGCTTTATAGTGAAGGCTGGTAAAAGGGACATTGAGTCTGGACAACAACTGAAATATAACAAATCCTTATCACTTGGTCCACAGAGCGTAATATACGTTTCGCTATAGAAACCTCTAATTAGGCCACTGTTAAAATATGCTTTTAATAACTACAAAACAATAAAAATTCCAGTAATTGCATGGCCCCGAGTTAAGCTGGAATGCCAAATTTAAATGTCCATATGCAGGAGTCCTCATTTCATGACCACTAAAATCTTATTCATTTTGCATGAGATCACTTTCACAGTAGAAACACGGTACATCTTCCTTCATATTTTAAAAACATTCCTAAAATATAGCCATCAGATATAATAACAGGTAGAACAAATAGTGACACATTTAAATACCTTTAACTATTAAAAACCTTATTAACTTTTTTCTATTATCAACTCCCTAAAAATACACTCTCCCTAGGAATCTACTTAAAATGTTGTTATCTATAAAACTCACACAAATATCCATAAAAAAAAAACTGCATAACAAAGATTGTGCCTCTTAAAAATCTATAGCTATACATCTTACAATCTAAACTTGCAGCAGAATCATAATATTTAATCCATTAATTGTTATATTCTACTCATTTTGAGCAAACAGTACTGTGCCTCCAGGTCTCTCTGCATTTTACTACTGCACAGCTTGGCATTCAATAAGGATTAAGTAAACCTTTCTCTGGCTGGTGCTTGTTTCCACTTTCAATACTTACATTGCAGTTTAGTTGGCAGTTCATAGAAAACAAATTAACATATCCACCTGCAAGGAAAATGAAGCAAGACTAGAAAACAAAATTAACTTGATTTTTTTTTTTTTTAAAGAATAAAAATAATTCTATTATATTTTAATACAACTGTGAAACTTTATGGTTGTTGTTTTTTTTCTTCTTTCCAAGTCATTGTGTTTCATAACCTTGTTGATTTGAAACAAATTCAATTAAGTGGAATTTTTTATTATCTCAGCAAATATTTCACTTCGGCTTCAAGAATCTAAACAGCCATTCAGTGGCGGACTAAGGGGGGCGGAGGGGGCGGTCCGCCCCGGGTGCCACCTGGTAGGGGGGTGCCTTGACCCTGGTCTTGTGGCTGGCGGGGGCTGTGTGAGCTGTGCCCCATGGCAGCTGGGGTGTCGGACAGCTCACACGGAGACCAGCAAGCTTAACTGGCTGCATGGGAGGAAGAAGGGGGCGGAGCTTAACAAGGCCCTTACAAGCTGCTGTTAATACTGCACATGGAGGTGCAGCAAGAAGAAATTCCTGCTCCTCCACCTAACAGGCTCCAGCCAGGGAAGGACTTCAGGCCAGGGAATCCACTCCTCCAGCCCACACTGTCTGTAAGTAAGAGTGTTTGTGTGTGTGACTGTCTGCCTGACCCTGTAACTGTGTGTGTGTGTCTGTGTGTGTGACTGTCTGCCTGTAAATATGTGTGTGTGCATGTCTGTCTGTAACTGTGTGTGTGTGTGTGTGTGACTGTCTGTCTGTAACTGTGTGACTGTCTGTCTTGTGTGTGTGTGTGTATAACTGTCTACCTGTAAATATGTGTGTGTGTGTGTGTGTGTAACTGTCTGCCTGTAACTGTGTGTGTGTGTGTGTATGTAACGGTCTGCCTGTAACTGTGTGTGTGTGAAAACTGTGTGTGTGTGTGGCTGTAACTATGTGTATGACTGTCTGCTTGTGACTGTATATGTGACTGTCTGCCTGTAACAGTGTGCGTGACTGTGTTTAACTGCTTGTAACTGACTGTGTGTGTATAACTGTCTGCCTGTAAATATGTGTGTGTGTGTAACTGTGTGTACATGTATGTAACTGTCTGCCTGTAACAGTGTGTGTGTGTGTGTGTGTAACGGACTGCCTGTAACTCTGTGTGTGTGTGTGCGTAACTGTCTACCTGTAACTGCGTGTGTGTGTGTGTAACGGTCTGTCAGTAACTGTGTGTGTGTACGTAACTGTCTACCTGTAACTGTGTGTATGTGTGGCTGTAACTATGTGTATGACTGTCTGCCTGTGACTGTATATGTGACTGTCTGCCTGTAACAGTGTGCAACTGCTTACAACTGACTGTGTGTGTGTGTGTGTGTATAACTCTCTACCTCTCTACCTGTAACTGTGTGTATGACTGCCTGTGACTATATGTGTGACTGTCTGCATGTGACTGTGTGCGTGTGACTGTCTGCTTGTACCTGTGTGTGACTGTCTGCCTGTAACTGTGTGTGAGGGAGTGCAGGGATTTTGGGGTAGGGGTTCGAAAAAGTTTACAAACTTGTTCAATACATTTTTAAAAAAAATGTAAAGAAAAGAACACATTTTAAAAATTTAGTAGGTGTTTTTTTTTTTTTGGAGAGGGGGGAAGCCAAACCCAGGACCCGCCCCGGGTGCCACATGCTCTAGGTACACCCCTGCATATTTGACTCCTGAGAATAATATTTATAGAGCTAATCCACATGTAAGATTAAGATCATGATCATTAGACTTGTGCACTGAGAGAAAATTTGGATTGGCCAAACCATTTGTTATAAAAACAGAAAATTTGGGGGGAACCCTCAAATTTCAGCAGAATTTTGAAACCCAAAAACTGATTTAAGAACCAAATCGAATGAACCGAAATGGTGTGAAAATTAGCCAATTAATGCAATGCTAAATATATGTATAATATACATTATATATTTATCACATTTATAGTACATTAATAATGTTTTTGTTTTTTACTCTTACTGTGAATAAAATCAGCATTTTGTCCTGACTGCCAAGCTGAATGGCAGCACTTGGAGTGAGCTCCGTAAACAACCACCAAAACACTGATCTTAACGGGTGTTACACTAGAATAAGCCTAAACCTATGAACGCAGAGATCACTCTGCACATCTTGGGGAGACATTTTGGTGTGTTACAGAGACGGATTGGCGGTCTGCACCCAAAACCTCCTTGCGGCCTACCAGTGACTACCGCTGGGGGAAGTTGCCGATTTCCCCGCGGACGGCACTTTTGGAGCACTTGGAGGCAGTGGGGATCCCCTCAGCCAGTGAGGGATATCCCAGCACTCACTGCCATCTACCTAGCGATGGAGGGTTAACCCCTGTGCAGCCGCAGACAAGATGGCAGACACCATGCAGGCCTCTACCACACAAGGTTTACTGGAGCCACTCGAGGTTCCAATCGACAGGCTGTTTACTGACTTCTGGAAGAGGCTCGAGAGCAGACCAAGCCTGCCTGCAGAAAATCCACGAACAGCAAATCCGCCACTTGGCTCACCTCATCCTACCCAATGCTCACCAAGCTTGAACAGCCGGAAGGCCTATACAGTACCCCACGAGCTGCGGAGGAGACGGGTAATCACCAGGTGCATAGGCCACTGAACTGGAGGAGCAAGGACTACCAACATAAACACAAGCCTGATGGAACTACCTGCCATCCCCCAAAAGGACACTACTGGGTCACAATTGGATCACGAGATTGCGGCAACATGGAGCAGGCACTGGAACCGGCCGCTGACAGAGGGAACATCTCACCGCCGCAAAACAACTGGACTCACACATGCAATACCTGCCTCCTTGCGGCTCTCCCCACCGACAGCCTTGCCAGCCCTCACTCCCAGCACACCTGTCCAGCCTTCAAGGATGGCGTCGGCTGAACGATAAGGACTGTGTCAGGGACTAGTTCTGAACCAGACCACCCACAGGAGAAGAGTTTGATAAATATATAAGCTTCTGTTACTTCACCCCTCTCTTTATGCTTAGAGATGTTCATAAAGGCAGTTATTTATCTCTCTACTTGAGTTAAAGCGACCAGTACTCCTTAGCACTTAAACCAGCTAGCTTGGCATGTCAATCTGTATAAAGGAACCGTCTACTTACAGTGCTCTAATGCCCGCCTTAGCAAGACAACATCTTAGTCCCTAGCCAGCCTAGACACCACACTAGCAAATGCATTTCATTACCTTCATCATGCCTTGCTAGCAAAACAGCCTGAGTATGACATGCTTTTGCTTTATAATTTGACACTAATGCCAACTGTTACCCTCTGTTTTAAACAGTGTAATACGGGTTTTTGGGAGAATACATGTCAGTTAACGGCCAGACTGGATGCCAAATGCTTGAAATTAACCCTGCCTAGCCAATCATCTAGCTTGAGTATATCACGTTTTTCATATGTTTTATACATTTAAAAATATGTGCAGATGTTACCAAAGCCATGTTTGTTTCCAGCTGTTAAACTACACTGTTCTTGCACTAGCTATCGTGGCAGCACAGGCAATTATGTTACCTTGTGCTCATCAAAAATAAAGAATTAATAAAATATCAGCATTTTGTTACTGCCCCCTAGCCATTAATCATTTTTTCTTCCCAGTAATCTTCTCTTTTTTTTTTGTTCCATGGGTGGGATTCTGGATTACAAACTGGAACAGATATGCTCAGTCATTGCATGTTTCAGTTGTTTTATGATTTGGGTACCTTTCAGTTCGGTTTTCAGGAGTTCAACAGATGATCTGACCTGGTCATCCCAAATCTGGACTATTTGCAGTTCAGATCAAATGACTCTCCAAGTCTAATTATCTTATTATTTTGTACTGTTTTAAGTTCCTTTCCCAAAGAGAATTAACTGATGCACAATTCCACACATTATCACACTGGACACCAGGCAGATATATTATAAACCTGCAGGGTCTTTTCCACAGCTCAGCAAAAAGAAGTGAAAATAACTAACTACAGCATAAGATGGCATCATATCAGACCAAACTTGCAATATAAACTCTCTATAATTCTGTAGAGTGCAAAGAAAATCGATGTTCTGACGGGCATAACATTGTAAGTGAAAGAATGTGTGCACTACAAAAATAAAATTGCTAATTTTTGTTACATTATGTGTTAGACCTTTCCTACAGGGACAAATCTGATGCTGGAGTTCCTCATGCAGAGCATGAGGACATCCAGCATCAGATACCGAACCTAAGGACCGTTTCAAAACCAGGAAACCCTCTAGTGGCTCTCTGGTTGACAGTCACTAAAGACTGACTTAGTGCTGCAATGTAAACATTGCAGTTTCTCTAACGATAATAGGGACACTGTACCCAGCCCACTTCAATGAGCTGAAGTGGTCTGGGTGCATAAAGTGTCCCTTTAAGAAGAGAGGAGATTAACTGAAAGCGTAGGTGATTCAGGTAATTTTTCTTATTTGTCTAGTTTGAATTTATTTAAAATTCTCACTTTAGTGAATAACCATTAAAGTAATTGTTTATATTTTTGTCCTCAATAGCTGAATAGAAGCCAATTATGTTTTCAGTTCAGCTCTTTTTTGTTAGGTTTTCAGTTCAGTTTTTTCCCCCTATATATTTTAAGAGCATAGTGGACCTTTCTTTTGTCCCAGGTTTTATGGAAATCCATTCAGTATACAAACATGTGGATTTGAGTGAACACTGATATTGGAAATTATATAATGTGTATCAGGGCTGGACTGGGAAAAAATCATAGTGGCCCACTGAGAAGTAGTGGGACCACAGAGAGGGTGTTTTGTCCTTATCGATGACACACATGCCCCCCCTCAAAGTGAGATTGTTTGTTCAATGAGTAGAGCCCCGCTGAATAGCTTTCACAAGAGAAGAAAGACCTGTATTTGTTCTGTGCACTGCAAGCAAATTTATTAAAATGCATGCAAAGTGTTTGCTTGTGACTTGTCTCTGGTGTCTTCTTAAGTGTGTACCAGAGGACAAAAGGGCCAGGAAACATATTGTGCATGTGTTTGGAACCTGTGTGGGATTGTGTTTAGATTTTGCTGATTGTGGTGTAGTGTTTTGTGTAAATAGGTAGGTTTCAATTGTGTTGTGTTTGTGGTGTAATATGTGTGACTGTTGGCTGTAGAGAGTTGGAGAGACTGTGTGTATAGGTGGCATTGTATGTATAGGGGATGTAGCGAGTGTGTGCATAATGTTGTGGTGTATAATGTAGATGGTCTAGTGTGTGTTTGTGGAGGACCCAGAGTGTGTATAGAAGATCTAGTGTATGTATGCATGTGTGTGGGATCTAGTCTGTGTGTGTGTAGGAGTGCACAGTTTGTGTGAGAGGTGCACTGTGTGTGAGGGTTGCAATTTGTGTGTGAGGGGTGCAGTGTGTTTGAGGGTGCCAATATGTGTGAGGTGTTGCTGTGTGTGTGTGTGTGTGTGAGGGGTGCAGTGTATGTATGGGAGGGGTGCAGTGTATGTATGGGAGGGGTGCAGTATGTGCATGTGAGGGGTTCAGTGTGTATGTGTGTGTTGGGGGGTGTTGTTTGTGGGGGGGGACAGATTAAGGCAAATATTATTTAATTACAAAAATATATGTAATATCCCCCCTCCCTTCTTACCTTTTGGCCAAGAGAGGAGAGACTGCTTGCAAAGCTCTGGTGGTCCTAGTGACTAGAGTTCACTCTTGCATGATCGAAGCATTGCCATGGTAACTGTGGTGATGCTTTGACCTTGCGAGAGGAAGCCAGGGGAGCTGCAGGCCAGAGTATGCCAGGTCCCCTCCTCTCTCCATGCCCTGCTGGCTGACTGCTTGTAGGCTGGTGAGGTGGATCTTTAATCTCCCCACCAGGTCATCATGGCACACAGCAGTGCGTCACTTGGACAGTACAGGTCCTGCATGGGCAGCCAGGGGAGACCCACTGAGCTACCGTTTCAGCCTCGACCCATGGCCATTGTGGCCCACTGGTCATTTGCTCAGTTTGATCGATGGCCAGACAACACCTGATGGGTATCCATAATATCTAGGGATTTAAATGCATATATATAATTTAAATTGACATATGACAATAGTGGTAAAAAATGCAGAACAAACTTATCAACTATTAACTAGATTATGAGTTCTTAAGGGTTGCTGTTCTGTACTTTTAAGCTAGAGCTTGTTCGTATGCATCCAATATTGATCCACTTTAATTTTGGCATTGATAAAATATATTTCTTGGGTTTTTTTTGTTTGTTTTTTTACATTCCTTTTATACATAAGATTAGCAATTAGAATGCACAATATAATGCAAAAACTGAGAAAGGCTCAGTGAAATATTTCACATTTCTTTTTTTTCTAGAAATGCATTCTGAATTTTAAGAGTGATGGGCATGTCAAGGGATTCGATGGTGATCATTTCCCCAACAGTGACAGATATTCTCGAGTGAGGTGATATATTCAGTGTTCCATTTAGTCTGACTTTATGACAAGCAAATTGTTTCCTATTCAATTTTTCATTTTTTTTATATTTACAAATATTAATTTTTAATTTGCAAAGGGCAGTGAATAGAATTTTCAGCATTCAACACCAGTAAACAATTAATTATTTGTAAATCAATGGATAGTGGAGTACAGTAAACTGGAGCTGTCTTATAGTGTCCCCTGTTTCCCTAGTGTGTTGTAAGGGATAGTTATGTTTAAATAGATAATCAAGTTTTATTGATTGGTTGATTGACAGTTGAGCTAGAAAGGACAAAAATGAGGAAAATCTGATAAAATATTTAATATGGTCAGGCTTGGAATTCTCATTTAGAACTACATCAAACAGTCTAAATAATAATTTACAGAGAAGATAGAAAGTCCAACAAAGGGCCAGTTCTGTATTTGTTAAATTATTTAACTAAAACGATATTGTAAAGAGTATATGTGCAAATAAATATTTAATAAAAAATAGTATATTCTATGGACGTTAATATTGACAAAATACTCCAAGGAAAGGTAAAGTGAAATATAAAATGTATGAAATAACCTTTTTTTCATCTTAAATACATCTTTTTGCACCTTAGTACTGCCATTTCACCAGAACGTGCATATTCATGCATTTAAGTAATAAGAAAAAATCTTACAATGCATTCACCACTGATGTGTTGAGTTATTACTTGGCTTCTTGTGAATATAATAGTTTAGGTTACTCCAAAAAAATCTCAACCTTAAGGGGCTTGGAAAGACAGACTATACACAGCAAACAAACTGTACGTTTGAAAACCTTAATTACAGTTTTTGTTGCCTTTATAGAAACCACATTAAATGCAGCCCATACTTTAATATACTATATTTTATACTATAGGAGTTATGAGAAATTAAGTGTAGTAACCCCTAAACTATGTACCGTGCTTTGCAAAAGTATTCACCCCCTCCCCTTGGCATTTTTCGTGTTTTGTTGCCTTACAACCTGGAATTAACATGGATTGTTTGAGGATTTGCATAATTTAATTTACAGAACATGCCCACAACTTTGAAGATGTCTTTTCTTTTTTTCTTGTAAAGCAAACAACAAAGTCGCTTTGGATAAGTCTCGATGAGCTTGCCACATCTTACCACTTGGATATTTGCCGTTTCCTCCTTGCAAAACT